ATTTCATTTTGAGGTGCTTGGGAACAAGGCAGTATTGCCTGAAAGTTCTTAGAGACTGGATGTTCTCCATCTACTGCACTGTAATGAATAATAAAGGAACTTGTTATGAAGCTGTTGATGCCTGCAGTGTGTTGGCTGGAAAATCTAAAAGCAATCAAATTCTCCCTGATATTTCTCATGCCCAAGAAATATTACATTGGGTCAAAATATCAGAACTTTTTCTCTTAAGCCTACCTGAAAAAAAGTTTCCAGTTCTTTAGCCAGCAGTTGCAAGAAAAAAATGGAGCCTATTAAACTGCCCTCTTAATTAAATCTGGCAGGAAATGTAGGAGAAAAATGAAACTGCAATTATATCTACAATTCATAAAAGGCTGAGGAAATCAAAGGATGATAAAAGTGCTGGGCTGATCTACTGCATAGGGGAAAAGGCTTTGGAAATATACAACAATCTCCACAATGTTTATGCAGATCCATCAAGCAAGACACTAGCGGAAGATCCTGCTGGATATAAAATGCATGGAGAGCCCAGGAGAATCCCTGTTTTTGAATAATTCTTGCTTTGGCAACTTTCTCATATGAAATAATAAGTATGGACTTGTTTACCACAGTTCTCAGAGAAAAATCTGAACATTATAAATTTGGAGCCTTTACAGATTTAATGCTGAGAGAAAGAATTGTTTATGCATCTTGATTACCTTTTCCTTCTCCTTCTCAAGGACTGGTTTATGTATATAGTTTCATTGTATTTTATTCTATGTTCTGTTAATTACTTTGCTAACAAGAGGCATTACAGTCAAATGCCATGTTAGTCTACCAAAGCCAAAAATTAGAAGTTGTACTTGTGTGTTTTAATAAAATTTGTTAGTCTGAAAAGATGCTATCAGACACCTCATTATTGATAATAAGAAAAGTTTATTGATAAAAAATATTTTAGCCCTCTTTGTTTTTATTTAATTAACATGACAAAAGAGATAAGATCATTTTCGTAATTATTGTCATATATGAAATTTGGGAGTAGTAGTGGTATCTGTGTATTCTATCCACGGGACTTCATGTTACATTTAACTTTGCCAAATGAATAAATAAGAATTAGGTTTTTTTTTAAAAAAATAATATCTAGGTGAAAAAGAGTCAAATCTGATTAACATCCTAATATTACCATCTAATAATATAATTTATCACTGAAGCGTTATTGGCAGGGATCCCCACAAGTTGCCTATATTAACTAGGCTTGCTTATTACAAAGAATTGGAACTGTGAGGGAACAAATCTGTAGCTTTTTACAACAGAGTATACTAATCCAAGAAAACCATCACATTTTGATCCAGAAGTAATGAAATATACAGGATGATTTTGTTTAGTATTCTTTTTATCACTTTTGTAAAGCCACTACTGGATTATTAAAAATGATTAAGGTTCTAACTTTGCCTGTGTAAGACAATATAGGCCTTTTCAGGATTACAGGATCAGGGCCTAAAATTCTAAATTAATAGTGACAAGTATGTTATATTTCTGGGCATATATTCAGGTTGGCTCTGAGCATAACTAACAATTAGCATGGCAAGAAAACAAGAAGGGAGTACACAAACACACACGGGCATACATACGCTGGCACTTTTTTTGCACTGAATTCTCACAGTCTAAAATGAATGCCTTCATTTCTGGAATACTTTGCTGGTGCCTTTGGACAAATGCACTTCTTTGCTAGGGAAACAAACAGGAAGCACAATAAACACATATACAAACTGTATTTCCTTCAAAGAGTTTAGGAGACCATACAAGGATTTTTTAAAATTATCACACTAATGCTATGAAGACAGTACAAATACTGTGAGACTCCATTATTAACCCTAATGAAATTAACTGGCTGAACAGAGCTTAGAACCAGTTTTTTATCTAGAAATACTTGAACCCTGTCCTCATTTTGTCCAATACTCTCCAAATGCCCTAGGGTTAGTAGGCCATTTGAATATTCAGAGAATTATATTCTCCCTATAGATAAGGCAGAGGGCGCTGAATTAACTACTTAGAGCAGTGGTTCTCAACTTTTTCTTCACCATGGGCCCCTTTTAAATACCTTTTGTGCCCACACACCATGGCCACACACCACCAAAACATAAATCAAGATTTAAATCATAACATTTCTTCATGTCTTTGTGGGTTCCTGTGACGACATCACGGCCCCCCAGGGATCCATGGACCACAGGTTGAGAACCACTGACTTAAGAGGAATGGCTTCATGCCATTTTCAAATACACATTTCTACATACCCTCAACAATGATCAACTGAATAACTCTAGATGAAACAGAGAATATGATTAACAAATCAGGCTGGACCAAATCATATGTAATGTAGGAAAACCATGATTAAGATTCTTGCATTTTGTTTTATTGAAAGGATACCTATAGGACTGATTTGAAGGTTTTCTGAGATGAGAGAGCACTTCCATACCAGAACTGTTTTCATTTTCCTAATCCTTTCAAACCAGTTTAAAGTCAATTATCTTTACCTGAAGCACAAGTACATCACAAACAAACAACGTTTCCTTCAGCTAGCCAAACAGGAATGAAAATAAAGTCATTTGATGAATTTCATGGTCACTGAGCCTAGGCACAATCTGAAATAGTACCTCATACAAAAGTAAACTCAAAGTTATTTCCTAATGACTATCTTCCTTGTAGCTATAATGGGAAACTGCTAGACAAAGTCTTTTGTTAAAAAAAAGAGAGTGGAATCTGTACCACCATCTGTCTCCTGCATGTAAAAGCCAATTGGGAAATGGATCATGGATAAGCTTCACAGAGCCACAAAATATCAACGATAATATTAGGTATGTTTCAAAGAAATTGCAACAGCTTTAGCTTTCAGTGTTCATAACCAATTCAGCTCTCAAAAGCAGCCAACTCTGGTTGATCAGAGAAGTTCAGAGATGGCAGTGAACTGAGGCAAAATTCTCATGAAGAAATGCTCCCAAGACAATGTTGTTACACTTCAGCTCATGCCATTCATCTTATATAATTTTATTGGAACTCCAAAAGAATGCAAAATCAGGAAGAACCTTTTCGTACCCTATTTCCCACCCTCAGAACATTTCCTCCATAAGCAAGAAAATCCTGCGAGACACCTAATATAAAAACAAAACAATAAAACTGCTTTCTCCATGGGCTGCCATGTAGATGGATAAGAATTATGGCAACTGAAGTTTAACATATCTAAACTAGAGAAATATTTAAGTCCTTTCACAGATTCCCTCAATGCATCTACTTTAGTCCTAATTTAAACAAATCAAGAAGATAGTACGGGAAGAAAGAAAGTATTCTAACATTCTCTTGAGAATAGTGAATCAATGCTATTCAGGGGTGGTATGCCAGTTAGTCTGCTAGTATTCCACAACAAAATCAAAATCATCTTGAGAGGAAGAATGATATAATCTTCTGGGTAGCACTAGAAGATATATTCCCAATGTATCACCATGCCAATGTTTTATTGCTACAAAATGGAACAGAAATAAAGCAAATCAAGTCTTCTTTTCCTGAACAGTTTTTAATTCTCACAGAGGTGGATACAAAAAAGCTAGTTTCTATTCCTCCACGTATCACCAAGGGCATCTTTCCATAATGGAACTGATACAGTCCTGTTTCAATTGGTTCCAGTGTAAGCTTCCCTAAACATGATTTGCAGGACCAATGCTGTATTAAGCTAGGAAATAAGGAAACTGTAATTCATAGCATCTGGAGGCCACTTAGTCAGAGAAGGTTAAGGAAAGCAGGAGATTGAAATTGCACAACATTTAATATCTGACCATAAACCAGCATATTTCATTTTTGGCTAGGAACTAAAAAACAGACTGGGAGCAGGTTTTTCTGTTAGAAAAAGTGCTTGTCATTTTTAAAATTCTAAATCTAAATCCTTATAGATCAATCTACAAATCTTTGAGAAATCCAAGCTCAGATACGAAGTCATGCTACTAGAAAAGTAATCCACATGGATCAATGTTTAGTTGCACAGCTTCCCTCTAAAGGCTAAATCTTCCCGTCTCAGCTGAATCGCAACTGTGTGATGCAGACAGCTGGGCCTGAATATTAATATTTTTTAATATACTGTATAACATAGATAAAATGCAACATCATCCCCCTAAGGTTAGCATATAACCTTATGTTAAGCATAGATTATATGGCTGTTATACTTTGGATCCCAATAGAATTAAGGAGGGTAACAAGGGCCTTGATTCTCTTTTGTAAAGCTCATTTGCTATAGATTAAGCTTAATAAAATCAAGATCACGGTTTTTGCAAGAAAGTCAGAAAGTTAAGCTAGACCAAGCATCTTTAAATAGCTAGGGATGGTTTTCCAAGTCACGGGAAAGTGCAATGACTTGCTTCCTATCTATCTATCTATCTATCTATCTATCTATCTATCTATCTATCTATCTATCTATCTATCTATCTATCTATCCATCCATCCATCCATCCATCCATCCATCCATCCATCCATCCATCGACTTGTATGCAGCCATCTCAGAAAAACAGAGTTGGAAGGGACTTTGGAAGTTTTCTATCTAACTCTCTGATCAAAGCAGAAGCTCCTACACCATTTCAGTCAAATGGTTATCCAATCTCTTCTTTAAAATACTAGCAATAGAACATATTGGCAACTATATTTTTAATATAGTTTTAACTAGAGGAATCAAATATGCCCCTACTATAATTACGCTATTAGAAGCCAAGGTGCTCATATGAACATTTTCAAACTGATGAAAATCAAGTCGCACCATTGAAACACAAGAACTGCAGTCTTCATGCAAGCAGGCAGTATGAAGCACCTACAAAAGGGATGAAGCTTATGATAAAATGGAACTTTTGACGTTATCTTCTCCCTGCTATATCCCTCCGACTGTATACACTTTTAGGATGATTATGCCATCTTTCCTGGGTCAAAAGCAAACCTCAGCTACACAGTTAGTACATAGAAAGAACACTGTACCTAACTGCTTGCAGAACTCAATTGAACCAGTTCTGTTCCGTATATCTTCCTTCAACTTGAAGAATTTCTTCTAATATCTCTGCCTGAAAAACAACAGTACAAATCCAGTTGCTAAGACAAACTGAAATAAATCAAACATTTGCAAGTATCAGCATCTCATAAATAGACTAAAATGTTTAGAAAAAATACCCAAGTAGCTAGGCTAAGTTATCTCACACCATCGAATCCATGTTTCCCTGACAGATATTCCTGAAAGTTTCCAAATGATTGCTCTTGCTTTTATTTTCGCTCCCTGCAGTAGCCTTCTGCAATTTAATGCCCCCCCCAGATGTGTTGGGACTGCAACTCTCATCCTGGCTGGCAAGCCTGAGACTTACAATCCCTGCAATATCTAAAATGTGCCAGACTGAGAAGGTATTCTACAATTACAAGAAGCGTAATTGTTGCTTCATTCCATCTGCTTTGGGGAGGCTCAGAGGATCTGTATTTCATTCAGGGAAGCTCCCTGGTTATGAAATGGTCTCTCTCTGAAGGAGCATTTAGTTCCAACTCCACCAATATTTAGAAAAATAGTAAAGACAGTCCATTTTACTAGGCTTTTAATTGTTGATTGGTTTTTAATTTTACTGAACGGAATGTTTGTGTCGCATGTTGCATCTTTGTTTGGAATAGGGCAAGCTTCTTTGGGTGCTTTCATAAAAATGGTGGGTGTCGGAACATTTTAAAATCCAGATGAAATGGAAAACCGATTACCACCGAATGATTTTAATTAAGGAAATAGGTGAATCTTTTCCACAGAACAGGGAGATCTTACCTGCTGCTTCTAAGCTCAAGGTTAAACCTGTATCCAATTTGTTGCGTGGCTTCTTGCTGATAAACAAGTAACAGAGGACACACACCGTGATGAGAAAAGCCAGCAAGACCGTTGCTGCAACCGACAAGCCAATAAGCGCACCAATACTGAGAAAAGAAAGCGCAATGAATTTAAGGACATTGTCAAACCCTTTAAAAGGCATTAGTGCTGCATTTATTTAATGGAGAAAGACAGATGTTTATAGATTTCCCTTGATAGTTCTCATGGAAGCTGAATTATGTTATAACAATTCACCAAAAGCCTTTTCCGGCTGGATTAGACCTGTAGAGCAAACTTCATCTAAGGTGCTGCTTTTATTGTATTTCCTTGAATTACTGCATTTGATGTTGCTCTTGGCTAAACTTGTATAAATCAAGACACATTCCTTTCAAATTCATGGAATTAAATCCAGGTAAAATCAATTTAAGTGAAGTCCTTCTTAAATCCTTGCCTTCTGTTAAACAAATAATTGGATAAAGGGAGGAAATGTCTGCACTCTCCTGAAGCATCTCAAATAGGCAAAGGATTCCCTTTTGCGTGCACATCCTTAAACTTTGCAAAGAATCAGTAGTAAAATAAAGCAAGATAACTCAATGGAAAATAGAAAGTAGCATGGTTCAGTAAGCCTGGGGAGACTTTTAACTTTGATTTGGAGTACCACAAGTATAACAAAGTGCTGATTATCTTTTATGTGTTTTCTTTATAAATTAAATAATGTAGTTGGTAGCATTCTGAGCAGAAATGAAGCTAAGAATAATTTACATCACTTCATCCAATGGATTCAAAATTAAATGAAAAGCTGAATGTAGACTCTTATCATTTCTATTGCATCCATAGGGCAAACTAATAAAGATAGGGGAATTGTATATATCTTAAGTCCTTACTTATTCTGTTTGGATATAAATCAAGATGACAGTTTACTTACTATATCAAAAGAAATAGGCAAAAGAGGAAGAATACAACCTATCCACTTTTATTTTGTTGCTCTCAGGAGCAATCCACGCTTGTGAGGAAAACATATAAAAATAGCATAAAACCCCCATAGAAATGATGAAAAGCAGGAAACTTAGGTTTTACGTCATGCTCTTTTTTGGTATGGAATAGATCCCTCACTTCTTAACAGGACAGATAAAATCATATAACACATACAACTACCTCACAAATCTAGTTTGTATCTGAGCACGTCACATATCATTCCACTGGGTAGTTTCCATTCACCAAAATTAAAAACCACAGATCCTAAGAGCATAGTATTAATAACTTTGCATATAATAGGCAAGTTGAATTCAGAACTTAAATTCTCCACATTATGAATGAAAACCCAAATTGAGACCTTTGATCTATTGCAGTGATCTTCTATATTTTTTTTTAAAAAAAATGATTTTATTATTGAAGAGCACTTGAAAATGGCATTAGGAATCCCAACTACTGTCTACAAGGTCTATTCCAATGTCTCAGCATTCTATATATATTTTTATTCCATCTCTGATATTTTCAGCAAGTGATGTAAACGAGAAACAAAACTGACGGCACTTTACTGCAGAAATCCAAACAATTCTGCCCGCTATTTTACATGGATGTTAAATCATAATGGGGAAAATAGAGCAGGGTTTTTCAACCTTTTCACAGATTGTACCACTTTTAGGACATGACAATATTTGAGTGCCACCAGTGCTTAGCAAGGTGTCAAAAACTTGATGACTAAAAAAAAAAGAGGAGGGGGGAATTTTGGGTTTTACTGATTAGATTCATTTGTTGTTATAGAAAGTTTATACTATTATGGAAAAGTAAAAAGTTGAGATTCGATATTAATGCTTCATTCTACTGCAACAGAGGAAGTTGGAAGTCAATGCCTTTTCTTTTCTTTTTCCCTTCTCCCCCTCACTTTTCTTTCCCTTTTTCCTCACCACTATTTGCTTTTGTATTTTTGTATTTTATTCTATAATCTAATAAAATAAAACCGTAAAAAAAGGAAAAAAGTACCCGTTTTACTCCTCCTTTTATATCCTCTCTTCTCTCTCCCTCCTCCTTTTATATCCTCTCCTCTCTCTTCCCCCTCCTCCTTTTATATCCTCTCCGCTCTCCCCACCTCCTCCTCCTTTTCTCTTCTGGTTGTGCTGGGAGCGCCGATCAGCTGGACGTGCACACACCAATCCTGGGCTCTCAGCAGAGCCCCAGAAACACCGCTGCTCCAGCTGAATCTCTGCCTCAAGACTGCATGTGGCTGCCGGCCACCCCCCAGGCTGCCGGAAGCGCCGATCAGGTATAGCCGCGCGTGCCGATCCTGGGCTCTCAGCAGAGCCCCAGCAACACCGCAGCTCCAGCTGATTCTCCCCCAGGCCTCTCTGGCACTTCCGCCACTTCATCTCATCCACTTTTACACTTTTTTTTTTACACTTTTTTTTACAGTGCTTTTCAACCCATCGTACACGTACCACCTGCCAGGTGCCCAAGTACAACCAGTGGAATTGATATGTGACCCGCCCCCAAATTAAATAACAATAAATATTATTTGTTTATACATAACATAAATGGCCAGAATCCCAGGAGATTGCCAGGCCTCTTAAGACCGTAATGTTCCCATTAGAACTCCTGTTTAATTTAGGCAAGAATGTCAAACCTTCATGAGATACAGTAACTTCACAAACTTTTTACCATTAAATATATACCTAAAGAATCTAGTGTCTAAACAAAGGACTATTTGCATTCTCTTCATTAATCGCCATCCATCTTCAAATCACCGATTGGGAATTACTGCTCTAAGGTACCAATGGGTCAAACAATAGAAAAGCAAGGCCAGATGATTTACTACCTGCATTGCAGGACAATATGCAGGTGAACGAAATTACTTGGGTAAGATTTATAGGTCAGATAATGGTAGATAGAAAGGCTGCAACTTCTTAGAGCAGAGAAATCAGCTGATCCACTAAAAAACTGCCTTGGTTTTTGAACCACCCCACTGAGCAACTTACTAAAGACAAGACATATAGACTTCTTGTACTCTCCCTGACAAAGCCTGACCTTCTGCTTGATCAGGATAGTCCACCAGCCCCTGATCCTTTTCATCTTTGCCTTGGAATCAGTTTCCTGAGATCAGCCTTGGAATCAGTTTCCTGAGATCAGCCTTGGAATCAGTTTCCTGAGATCAGCCTACCCAATTTCCTCTTTAGATTTTTGCATCATTTTGTTTTAGCACTAGACTAAAGCATTTGCCAGTGACCCTGCAAGATTGTACACTGTTTTGATGCTGATCATAAAATGCCAAGGGCTAAATCTCACAGGCATACTTTTGGGTTGTTCATGAAGTGGTTACATAATGGATTCAAAGGAAGAAAATCTAAAGTCATGGAATTCTTGGTTAGAATGCTGCATAAACTTTTGCCTTTTCTTGTTAAATATGATAGTTGTTTTCCTTCTTCTCGTGAGATTTTCAGCATGTCAAATTCAAACCATACAAAAATGTCACACAGTCGAATTAACCCTGATGCCTCAGTCTCCATTCTCTCACTGAATTAATAACAAAGAAAGGTCCAGGGTAACTTGCATTCATAGATATTTGTAGTCACGCTTTGCAAATTTGCCCGCAATTAGTATACAAATAGCTTTTTATTACATGTCAGGTTTCTCCCAGCTATGCCATGTGATGGACTGATTCTAATAATTCATTATGTAGGTCTACTAAGATTATTGTCAATGACCAGGAAATAGGGTGGGGAGAAAGCATTCTGATCTGCAGCTCAACTGTCTCACTGGGGATCCACTAAAGAGATATTTTTCCTGGAATGTTTTTCTCCATAGCCCCCAGCTAGATTCAACTGTTTTCAAACTCAGCCATGTTCCATTTTGATTTTATCCTGCTCATAAATAGTATCCTTTTACCAGATTTTTTTTTTCAATCTTATCCTAGGGAGAAAAGAAAGGGATCCTTAATTACACCAGGTCCTTTGTGGGTGTAGTTACCAGAATCTTGGGAGGGGTGTCATAAAGAACAAACTGTCCCAATCCATTTGCTTTGAAGGCTGTCATTGCCTGTCTTACAGTATAATTCCTGCTTGAGGGCAACATACCCTCAGCTCTTCAATTCCCAAATCATTTTCACACCTGCTGGTTGAGAAATAAAAAGGGGAAAAAATCACTGCCTCATCTTGCTAGCAATGCAGAGAAAGAAATGCCCTCATACACGCCATACAAAAAGGAAAAGAAAACAGAAGGAATCTAAACAGCAATATTGGAACACTGCTATCATGTCACTGCTAGTCATTTTTTCATTAAACTAGACATACCCAGTTCCAGCAACCGTTCTTTTTATGTTTTAGCCTCCAGTCCCCTAATCATCTTTCTTGCTCTTCTCTGCACTCTTTCTAGAGTCTCAACATCTTTTTTACATTGTGGCAACCAAAACTGCTTACGTGAAGCAAAACAGAAGCTATTGTTATTCAAAACAATTTGAGCCACAGTTATTCAAGAATCTTGCTTTATGAGTCTATATTCTGTGCTGTTGACTGATACACCCTCAAGACAAGCAAAAGGCTGGGTTCAGAATTGTCCAATAAGGATAAATCTTTCAACACTATTTGGGCAAACCATTTTGAAATAAGGAAATGGGCTGATGTTAGAAAGAAAGGCTCCTTGGGAAAATTAATATGCATCATTTAAAGCCAGTAAAAATGTAGTGAATTATGAACTTTTGGGAGAGAAAATAGTTATGGCTCTCTATAATTACACACTGCATAGAGTATGAATTCTTTTTATTAAGAGTTTCTCCAATGCAAAATTTTTATCTGCTGTAGATAAAACCGATAACATTTAATAAATTGATCTGTAGAAATTGTTGGCAACTGAGTTACAGCAAAGAACTGGACTATTTTTTCCCCATTTTTGCCTTTGGTTCTATCATTTTAATATACATACATACTCACAAAGGCTTCTAAGTTAATTGTTCACCATCAGAAAATTGTCCAACAAAAAGTAGAGACTCTCCTCTCCTTAAGTGAAATGATCACAGTTTCCCAAATAACAGGCTAGGGCAAAACAGAGTGTGTTTTTTTCTTTTATAGTGTAACTGAAACACTAAAATGAAACTTCTGATCAATCACGTTGGCTTGCTGAATTGCTGTGCTGCACTTCTTGACTTGACTTGACTTTAATCATGCCATTTGCAAGGCTGCTAGATGATTGTGCTAGTTAGTTCAAACCAGTCACAAACAATATGCACAGCTGCCAGCAAACTCCCACACTGACAGTATGTTTGACAGCATCACCTTGTACTCATATCAATTTTATGAGCTGGATTAACTTACAAAAACTAAGCAAATTTAATTTCTAGAGAATATTTAGAAGGCCACCTGACAGAAGGCCACCTGAAGAGACTAGAAGCATTTGAAATGTGGATTTACAGGTGGCTGTTATGTATAAGCTGGGTTGACAAGATCAGAAATGAGGAGGTGATAAGCCGCCTGGGAAAGCCAAGGGAAATCATCGAAACAATTAAAAAACAAAAATTAGAATATTTCGGACATGTGATGCGACACCCAGAAAAATACGGCATACTCCATTTAATCCTCCAAGGAAAGATTGAAGGCAAACAAGGTCCAGGCAGAAGAAGAACATCGTGGCTTCAAAATCTAAGGGATTGGTTTGGACAAAACTCAGCAGCACTTTTTTGTGCGGCTGCTGATAAAAACAGGATCGCCAACATGATCGCCAACGTCCGATAACGGATATGGCACAAGAAGAAGAAGAAAAAGAGAATATCCATGAGTTGGTTGACTTTTCAATATGCTTAATGAAATTTTCTGTATTTTACTGTATATCTTCATAGCTATCAAGTTTGCAGGAAAATACTATCCCTGGTTGGAAAAACAAAAAGGCAAATTTGTATTTCTTGTGTTCTCTGAGAGGAGAGAGGGTGCTTCGGTTTTCTGAATCTCATTCTGATCAGCTTTCTGAGTGACACCAGATTTGCTCTCAGATTGAGTCAAATCTTGTTTCTGGAGTACTGGAACAAGTCCTGAAATTAGGCAGTTTTCCACATACTATAATTAGCACAGTCTTCTAAATAACTATTCATGGCATTGCCTGGAGTAATTATGAATCACCTTTAGGTGTTCAAGCACAGAAGAACCAAACAAAGACTATAGTATTTTCAACAGAAGAGAATATATATAGCTCATTTCATTACCATGCTGGGTAACAATATCAGTGCTAGCATTGATGATATTGCCTAGTCAGGTAATGAAATGTCTGCAAGCAAACAACTAAGCTCAGAGAGCACCAAGCACTCCACTACAATATCTAACTAATGCTCCAAATGGAATGGTTTCACATCAGATCTATGATCTGTGATTATTACCTTTTTTTTTAAAGCTATCTTACTAACATTCAGGTTTCATTGGCTTTTTAAAGCTTACATTCAAACTCTACAGGAAAAAAATAATTATTCTACATTAAAGTATCTCCTGTAGGTGTTGTTATTTTATGCTGTTGCAAATACCTCTCACTTCACCATACGCTTTCTGAAAACTGTTTGCATCCTGAAACTGTAAAGGAAAATTGACCTATTTCAAGTAACTTCCAAACAACCATGGCAATTAGGTCAGAAAGCCTAATCCCTCTCCAGGCACCACAATGGCAGATGACTGTTATCATCTGCAATTATAATTTGCATGAGTGAGTGGGAATGATGGGGATCCAACACGTCTAGAAAGGCAAGCCAAATTGAGCTCAGGAATAAGGAAGAATGGACTATCAGGTTCCATATTACAACTGTCACATCCCCTTTATTTGTTGCTTTACAGTAACATTAGATCTGTCCACACTCTGTTCCTTCTGCAACCAAGATCAGCAACTCCCATGTTTTGCACTGGGGCTAGAGCTCCGGTGTTCACTCTAGAGGACCCCAAGGTAATATCTCCCTCCTGAGCATGTGCAGAGTGCATAACAATATCATCTTATTCCCCGATGGTTCGGATCCTGCTCTTAAAGCAGCAGCAACCAGCCCCCTTATCCCAACTGATGTACCTTCTGGGTTAGGACAAGGCGGAAAACGCCCTTCCTATTCTCACCTGAGCCACCACATATAGTTGTGCTCGTAAGGAAAAAAACTGTTAGGGTCGTCGCAACAATACTTGATGTCCTGGAAGCCGCAGCAATAGATCGCATCAGCCTCGCCGTCTTCCCGCGGGCAGCTGAAGGAGCCCACCAGCACTTTATCGGCGTTCACGTAGCTGCTGCAATCGGCGCTCATGGTGCGCTGCCCGCCCGGGGATTGGCCGAGTCTCGTGCGGAGCTCTTCGTCGTTTTGCCTACTTTCGGGGACGAGAAACGGCTGGAAGCGAACCCAGAGCCGAGGCAGTGGAGAAATCGCCTCGACGCCCGGGGCTTTGACGGCTCGGCTTTCACCCTCCGCCAGCGACTCTCCCGAAGAGGCTCCTTGCAGCCTTTCGCGACGCCCCGCCCTGTGGCCCAGGGCCCCGCCCCTCCGATTCAATCTTGCGACTTCTGCCTATGATATTTTGTAAACTAAAAGAGAACCGGGGTGACGTCCAACAGCGCCTTTTCTGTTTTCCGTGGTAAAAAAAAAAAAAATTCTGCATAAACTTTTGCCTTTTCTTGTTAAATATGATAGTTGTTCCAGTTTTCCTTCTTCTCGGGAGATTTTCAGCATGACAAATTCAAACCATACAAAAATGACACACAGTCGAATTAACCTTGATGTCTTCAGTCTCCATTCTCTCACTGAATTAATAACAAAGAAAGGTCCAGGGTGACTTGCATTCATAGATATTTGTAGTCACGCTTTGTAAAAAAAAAAAAAATCACTCTGAGAAAGATGCGGTTGCCAATTCCTGTTTGGGGCATAGGAGCAACCCAACAACTTACCTAAGATCTGTAAGCTTCAAAATCTGGAGGTCCTTTAATTAGAAGTCCGATCTTTGGTGGCCGAGGGTTTTAACCACGCAACAGTTCCCCCCCCCCCACTTTTAAAAGCAAGTCTTCCGTAAATCATAAATAAGCCCATTTTTCACCATATTTTATTTGGAGGGGAAAAAAAGAAAACATCAAAGCAGTAGCAGTAAAACCAATTTTTCAGGCTCCGGGATGATCTCGTCTCAGGTACCATCCTCAAATGAAGCAGGAAGATTACCCCATGCTGTCATGGCTCAGCAAAAAAATAAAAATGCAACAATAAAAATAATGATAGAAAGGAGCATTAGGACACACTGAGAACTAGCAGAGTTCATCTGTGAGAAGTCCAGATACGGCTAGGATCAACTGTGCTTAAAAGAAGCTACTGGCTGTTAACTATTTCTGAAATGGTCTGGCCAAGCAAGAGCCCCTTCAATGCTGCTGTGAGAGGCCAGTGTCAATTCCTCTCATGATATTCCTTCGTCACCCGACTGTGTCCTGAAATTTAGACCCGGTCTATATCTGGCTTTCCGTCTCTGCTTGCCCTGCTTGTCCTTCAAAGAAAGCCTTCATTACATAGATAGATTTATGTTCTAGAAGATAAGCCCGACATTTCAATTACGATAAACACTTTTCTTTTTTGAGGCCTCAGAAGGTTTCAGCGTCTGTTATCTTCCCTAAAAAGTCAACATCTGTCAACATCCTCTGTGCCTTGGTTTGTCTGTTTGTTTATATCCCGCCTTTATTGTTTTTACAAATTACTCAAGGCAGCCAACATATCCAAGCACACCTTCCTCTTCTTATTTCCCTCCCAAACAACAACCCTGTGAGGTAGGTTGGGCTAGGACAGAGTTAGTGACCCAAAGTTAACCAGCCAGCTGAGGTAGGACTTGAACTCATCATCTCTTGCTTTCTAGTCTGGTGCTTTAACCACTACACTAAACTGGCACTGGTTGATGGGCTTCAGCAATCATGAGAGCTTCAGTGACTATACAAGCAAGCTAAAGGCTCTGAAGGGCAGTCCCAGCCTTGATAAATACATTACAAAATGGACAGGAATCAATGTAGTTATTTAAGCACTGAAAAATATGTCCTTAATAAAGATAATCTTCAAGATACGACACGTCACTTAACAACTGTTCAAAGTTATGACAGACCTCCCAAAAGCTACATACAGCCCTGTTTCAAATTTATGGCGGCTGTAATGCCCCTTCAGTCATTCTCCCTTATCACCCATCACACAGACACTGCAGTGCCCCTCCACTCTGTCTCCCTCTACCCCACCCCAAAAGAGTACTTGGTCCTCCTGCCTCCTGGAAGCAGTCGCCATTTTCAGTGCTCTGACAATTCCTTGCAGAAATGATAGTTGCTTTCGGAGCTTTTTGCCCCAGTCAGCTGGCCCATGGAATAGAATTTTCTATTCTCTCCTTTACTTCAGAAAAGAGAAGAAAAATCCCTCTCCCATTGGAATTTACCCTTATATGCTACTTTCAGGTTGTGGCTTTAGTTCTAATTGGTACTTAATTAAAAATGGACCAGGTGAATAACTTTATTTCATTCATTTTTCCATTTATTTTATACAGCTTTCAGTTTATATGAGGAATGTTTTGCTTTGTCTCAAAGGCAAATTACAGATTCTGATTCCTCAGAATTCTCAGGTAGAATGTTGAATACTCTCTACTGTCTGGTGCATAATGTTTAAAAATCAGAAGGTTTGAAAAAACACCAATTAACTCAATAAGAAAAAATTTCATAGAAAACCTGAGAAAATGTCAACTCACTTTGCAAAATGTTAATATTTGGTTAAAAAGAAAAAGATTTTGCTCCAGTAGTTTAGAGCTACAATTTGAACTGTTGTTTTTAAGTTATCCATTCCAGACTGTAAAAATGTTACTACTGGTGTTCTTTTCTAGCACCCCAAATTATCTACCTGTCCTAAGATAATCAAATACTACAGGTCAAATTCACTTTGGAGCTCTACCATCACTGACAGTCGTGCTATTATGGTCTCTCAGTACCTCAAAAAGAGGGGACGGCTTGGAAAAGTTCAGAACATCTGCAGGTTCTGGAAAATAGATGCCTAGATTTCCAGTTCATCAAAGGGTCATCACCCAAAAAATGAAGATAGCTTTGCCCTAGCAAACTCAAAGATAAGAAGTATCCTAGAAATGAAGAAAATCCCCTTTTTCTTTTAATAAATGAGATTAGAAAAGCCCAGGGACATCTGCAAGAGTGAGAATGTAGTCAAAATCTGCAAGATAGCAAGTACAATGTTCTAATCAATGCCCCACCCTGTTTGTATATGCATATACAGTACAAAATGAATGGGCGTTCAGTCACAGTTCCAGGCTGCTGATATTTTGTTTTGAACTGTACTTGACTCTTAAAGAGTTTGACACATAGGTAATTTGTCCTATAGTTCTCAAGGAGCACACGAGAAAGAGTGTATCCCAGTTCACCCTTCAACTAACACAGTGCTTCAGAACTATGGCTAAAAATACAATAACAGCAATTCTACAAGAGAGTCATTGACTGAGATGGGTGGCCATAGAAATTGAACAAATAAATGATACAAAGGCAATACATTTTTCCATATAATCTTTACCATCTAGACTTTCACTATAGAGATAACTGACTGCATTTCATGATCCCGGCCCTGGAGAATACACAAAAATGGTTGCATAAAGCTAAATAAGTTGGTCATTTGTCATGAGACAATAGAATGTTTAATCTGTGTGCTACTAAGAATGACAGGCATTGATAATACTTTGAAAAAAACCAAAGGTTCTAAGCAGTTCTAACTGTTACCAAGATACCAGCAACATCAACCTGGTAAAGAAAAAAAAGAGAACAAAGAGTTGGACCAAAAATGGTAAGTTAACAATGCGGGAGAGAGGGGGGGTGAATGGAGGAACAGGGAGAAGTGGAATGTATAAACAGTTTAATAATCAAATCTAAAAAAAATGTAAATTATTTTAGAAAAGTAATTGCTACTATTAAAAAGTGAGAAGGAGAAAATTCTTACAGAAACAAAATAAAAGTCTCCAGCTCCATTGAAGCACAGGGATTTACATTATTGAATAAGGATTTAGCTGCTTCAGCTTGCAGCTCTTACTTGCAATTCTGTGAGCAAATAGTGCTATAAATTAGACCCATCTTTAATAAAAAGAACAATGCAGACACTTTCCCCATCACTGTTTCTCATTTATAGGATTGGAACTGCTTGTAATACCAATCATAGAGGTAACACAAAACACAGTCTCCATATTTTGCTAAGGACCTCACCTGTTCCCATTAATGGGGAATAAGGTGGCTTCATGACAAACAGGCAAACTCCAGAGTGGGCAAGAATTTCTGCCTAGGAGAGGAGTTTTTATTTGTAGGAAAAATTATTTATCATTTTAAAAAAATATCTTTAAAATTCATTTCAGAAAAAAACCTACCTTATGGCTAACTTTTATTTCAGAAGTTTCTCTTGTTTTGGACTGAAGTCATTTTTTTCCCCATTGTCTCTTTGGTAATGGATTTGGCCTATCTCTCTCAAGGTCATCTTTCTTACTCTCTATAGAGAGAGGTATAAAGAATACAAGATTTAAGAACACACGCGCGCACACACAATAAATTAAGCTATAAAGCAGCTTCTGCCTAACCATTAACCAATTTCTTAGATGTAATATAAATCCAGAAGCAAAGTTCCCTACTTCTTTTCTCCTAGACATCTGGGGTTAATTTCAGCCATTTATCACAACCGTTTGGGAAAGAGTATAAGCCAGCTCATGGCCAGCAACATTTTTTCTCCATTTCTCTGGAGTTTTGTCTCTCATTTTAAAAGAACAGAACTTTTCTCTATGAGAGGGAGGGCTGAGGCATCTCCCTTTGCTTTTATGTGTTAAAGGTTATGTCTTCCCCAATGCTGAATGTTACACAGTGTCCTGCTTTAGCAAGGGATTTGAACTACACTTCCAAGGTCCTTTCCAACTCTATTTTTTGTATCTTGATTCTGAGTCAGAGAAATAATAATAATAATAATAATAATAATAATAATAATAATAATAATAATAATAATAATAATAATAATAATAATAATAATAATAATAATAATAATAATAATAATAATAATAATAATAATAATAATAAAGTTGGAAGGGACCTTGGAGGTCATCAAGTCCAACCCCCTGCTCAGGCAGGTAACCCTATACCATTTCGGACAAATGGCTGTCCAGTCTCTTCATAAAAACTTCCAGTGTTGGAGCATTCACTGCTTCTGGAGGCAGGTTGTTCCACTGGTTAATTGTTCTAACTGTCAGGAAGTTTCCCCTTAGTTCTAGGTTGCTTCTC